TATATATATATATATACATGTGTATATATATATATATATATATATATTGCTAAGTGGCAATATTAGATGTTGAAAAAAAATTACAATTAGTTTTACATGTTGTACACAGAACACAATATACTCTGCCCACCATTGGAAATTTCATTGATGGGCTCAGTCTTTCCATTTCCACTTTTTTTTTTTTTAATTTTTTTTTCAACGTTTATTTATTTTTGGGACAGAGAGAGACAGAGCATGAATGGGGGAGGGGGAGAGAGAGAGGGAGACACAGAATCGGAAACAGGCTCCAGGCTCTGAGCCATCAGCCCAGAGCCCGACGCGGGGCTCGAACTCACGGACCGCGAGATCATGACCTGGCTGAAGTCGGACGCTTAATCGACTGCACCACCCAGGCACCCCTCCATTTCCACTTTTAATAACCTGTTAGTTTTAGACCACATGGGACATTCAAAAGAACATAGTTCATAGTGTTTCTACTCTAAAGCAAATGTTATTATGAAATTAAATGTTCCCATGCAATGTCCAATAGATAACTGCGTTTACACAGAAAAGATATGACTTTCTAAAGTATTCTTTATCACACTAAATCATAAAGTATTTCCATAAATCATAAAAACTTAATACACCATCAAATGAAAAATAAAGAACTTGAAAAAAATTGCTGATGCCGTAGAGCAATATTATTAAAGGCCTCCCTCAATAAAATCCCTTGGGTTATTTTATTACTTCCAATTTCATTAATTGTTGAGTGTCTTTGGTTAGATCTTGCACCTGAGGTAATTAGGTAAAGGTCACAGATTACAAATAAAACAAGCAAACGTAAATTACCTCTTAAGATTTCTTCCATCTGTATTGGGAGTGTATTTCTAGAGCTTAATTCCAACACAGGTATTTTGAAGAGAAATGAGAGAAGTCCAAACCATCGTCACCCTTAAACGGGCTAAGTGAACAGAACAATACACCTTGAAAATATTTCAAAACAAGTGGCTGGTTTGAGCTACATAACTGGTAAAGCAAAAGGAAAACTATGGCCATAAGGTTTAGTGTGACTGAATCTTAAACTTGAATTCTATAATTCTCAGCTGAATGTGTTGGAATACTAAGGACAATACGTCTTAGTAAAACTGAATCCAAACACTTTTGGTCTGCTCTTAAAGACTGAAGGAGTTACATCACTATAAACTGTTAAATCTATAAATTTGATAGAAGAGAGAAAGGATTAACTTTTTGGAGGAAAATCAGATTTTAAATTGTCTACCAATGATTCTGTAAATTCTATAAATACTGTAGTCAACATTATTTTTGCCTCTCAACTACAACTCACAAAGGAGTTGGAATCTTCATGCATGGAATAAGGAAATTCAATGTGAAAGAGAGAGCATCCAGAAACAACTAGTCAGCCCTAGGTTCAAAGAAAAATTTTTTTTCAGATGTTTGGAATCACTCATTTCTCTTGAAGGAAGCAGAGGATGAAAATCTCTTGCAATTTATTTTTTTCTTATCTTTAGCTGTCCACAGTAAATAGCCATCCAAACCAAGATTTGGCTGAGGGAATGTAAGTGTTTAGAATAATACTCATGAAAAAGTCTTACAGAGCTCTATAGTAACAAATACATTTTTCTCTCCTCCCTTCCTCCCCCCTCCTGCCTATCAAGTTTTTGTTTCTCCTAAAAGATGACTTTCCTCTGAACAGGCAATTTCATCGGACTTTATTTCATCAGACTATCATCCAAGACTAAACCTGGACATGAATTAAGTGAAAGTGTAAATATTCTTTCAAATATATTTATATGTAAGAAAATATCTTGTTCTTCTGAACACTTTCTTGAGATCATGTTTCAAGTATGGAAAAACTGATGCTTCTGGCATCACAGTGGGGCTCAGGTGTGGTGTTGAGCTGCTTGATGTGGCTTTTTCCTCACAGAAACAAGCCGAGGTTTGGCATTTCAGAGCTGCAGTGAGAAGCCAATAGTGGCTTCATAAATGAAAACTACTGAGGAATTCGTTTAAGGGAACAAACGGCTCTTCCTATTCTTAAGGATCTCACAGTCCAGTGAGGAAATACAAAACCAATGTGATATCTCAAGATATAAATGTAGGCAATATTTAGAATATGAATTGGAGATGTCAGAAATGTTTTTTTAAGAAGCAGTTGTTAGAATAGTTTATGTATTGTGATTCTATTTTATGAATTATATTTAGAAGTATCAATTAATTTAAATGTTAATTTCATTGATTACACAGGGGGGAAAAGGTCAGATAAGGCCCTGTAATTTTTTGTTTATATGTTTGGTCTATAAGAATAATCTCAAATCACTCAGCAGAAGATCTCATTTACAAAGTTGCACATTGGGGAATAGTTTTGTTTCTGAGATGGTTAGCTATCTGATGTAATATAAATCTTGATGGTTCTAATTCTAATATTCAAATAATCTCTTTTGAAAAGAGTAGCTGTAAATATTTGTCTACAGTGTTGTTAGGCCTATTTACATTCTTCTACACCAAATACATTCATGGAAAATCCAATCTGGAGTGAATGACTTATGTTCCAGAAATCAGGTCCGGAAAAATAAAGGGGCTCAGTGAAATGGTACAACTGGGACAACACATTGTTATAACTGTCAAATCTGGATCCAGCAAGAAAACAAAAGACAGTTTTGTGACCAATAAAGAGCAAATTCACATAATGGTTGCCTGTATGACCTCATGGAGGAACATCTGGGTCAAGTCCATACCACAGACTCTCAACTAGAATAATGGAAATGAAAGTACTTTGAAAATTATAATAGAAGGATGTGCTAAGCAGTGGAGCTGGCTAGAGCTGCAACTTATTTGATCCCTGAAGCAACATTCATAAGTGATTATTTTGTTCCTCTCAGAATAATGGACCTAACTTTTGTTCATATGACTTTTCTTTGACTTGCAACAAAGAGAGAGTATGAACTTTCTCAAGAATGTTATGGACTGATACTGATAAAAATGGAGACTTTCCAAAATAGAAAAACAGGGGCGCCTGGGTGGCTCAGTCGGTTGGGCGACCGACTTCAGCTCAGGTCATGATCTCGCGGTCCGTGAGTTCGAGCCCCGTGTTGGGCTCTGTGCTGACAGCTCAGAGCCTGGAGCCTGTTTCAGATTCTGTGTCTCCCTCTCTCTGACCCTCCCCCGTTCATGCTCTCTCTCTGTCTCAAAAATAAATAAACGTTAAAAAAATTTTTTTAAAACAAAATAGAAAAACAGATACAACATGGCAACAGAATAAGAATCCACCTAACTAGAGGTCTGAATTCAGAAGTCAACAAGAACATTCTCTATATTTCTGGAATGACATTAAGTGCTCCAGTGAGAAGCCAAGTGTTCACTCCATAGCCAGGAATAATAAACCATTCCCACTTTGGTACATTTAAGAATTACCTGGAAACTTATTTTAAAATGTGCTTTATTTGCCCCTGCCCCAATAGATTCTCACTTATTAGGTGATATTAATGCCTGTAGTCCCCGACCACATCTTGAAAACCACTGAGTGCTGTTCCCTCAGGTAGAGCCTTCAAGGCTCTTACTTATTGCACAATTCTTAATAAACAACTACATGGAAAATCTCTTGAGAGTAAGCCTATTTCATCTTTGTATTCCACAAGTTATTTAGACTTGGATGATGTCTCTGTCTGTTAAATGGATGAACAAATCAATGAATCCCAAACTAAGGAATATATTTTAAAATCTGGTGATGCCCAATTTGCCTATAAACCTATCCTCACAATAAGATAACTAGTTCTAGGGGCGCCTGGGTGGCGCAGTCGGTTAAGCATCCGACTTCAGCCAGGTCACGATCTCGCGGTCCGTGAGTTCGAGCCCCGCGTCAGGCTCTGGGCTGATGGCTCAGAGCCTGGAGCCTGTTTCCGATTCTGTGTCTCCCTGTCTCTCTGCCCCTCCCCCGTTCATGCTCTGTCTCTCTCTGTCCCAAAAATAAATAAAAAACGTTGAAAAAAAAATTAAAAAAAAAAAGATAACTAGTTCTATTTGGGTTTTTTTGTTTGTTTTTAAACAGTTTTCCTTTCAGTGAAAGGCACTGCATTAAGTGTATTAAGTGTACTGGATCGTGGTCAGAACAACCCCTTATATATGCATAATGCTTGAAATTTCAGTAGCACTTTCATCTCCTAATTTAATAATTCTCCTAATTTAATAATGAAAAATTAAGAAGGCAAACACATTGTCTTTGTCCCCAGGAGATTATAATTTAGTGACAACATATGAACAAAGAAATACATAAGAAATACTGAATATGCAATTGGAAGCCAAGTTGTATGATTTCAGACTATAAATAACTGAGTGCCTCAGAGGAAAAGGGGCCTCAGTGGGACTTGGATTAATTAAGCAGGACTTTGGAAAAAAGACAGGACTTCTTTTAAGGATACATTTGATTTAGGTCATTAAAGGAAAAACAGTTCACATGGGAGAAATAAGATGAGTGAAGGCAGGGAGACACAATAGATCTTAGAGAAGACCTCTGGACATTAAGGATAGATATCTGAAGCAAGCCCATTTTCATGGGCGCCTGGGTGGCCTGGTCGGTTAAGTGTCCGACTTCGGCTCAGGGCATGATCTCACGGTCCATGAGTTCGAGCCCCGGGTCGGGCTCTGTGCTGACCGCTCAGATCCTGGAGCCTGTTTCAGATTCTGTGTCTCCCTCTCTCTCTGCCCCTCCCCTGTTCATGCTCTGTCTCTCTCTGTCTCAAAATTAAATAAACGTTAAAAAAAAATTGAAGCAAGTCCATTTCCTAAGGGGTTAATCAAGGAAGACAGCTAGTCCTTTATATTTGCCACCACCAATAAAGCCCCAAGTAAGGGGAAAAAATGAATGAAGTCAAGTTATTTTTGGTGAGAAAATATTCACCCATATGCTATGAATATGAATATGGAGGGAAATAAAAGCTTCTAGGTCAGCACTGTTTGTTTTCTAAACTTTGTGAATTTTGCTATGTATAGAAAATATACTACACTGTCTCATAAGTGCTATAATTCTAAAAGCGTTCTTATAGTCTTGATATTCCAAGTGAAAAATATATGTGTATACATATGTATTGTTTCTATATCATATTGTCACAATATATAAAAGTATTTATACCTATGTATATTATTCAAGGGTCCGTAACAACTCTGGACTTATCAAATTGTGATAAACATAGAGATCAGAGCTAGCTCAGGAACCTAGGCCCTTCACGAACTTAAGCTTCAGGATTAAATATAAAATCAAAAAGCATGTACTGCTTAGCTTCAGATTACTTCTGACAACATCAAAGACCTGCATGTTGCTTATGGTGTGCTTCTGAATGTACTGGCTTCATTCTATCAGTTTTAGAAAGTTATATGCTGACTCGCTTCGTGGGAATTAACTGCTGTGTCCATGAGGGACAAAGACTCTTCTATAAGAAAGTGCAGTATTATGTGTGCTGCTGTGAGAAACTGTGTGTGTGTTCCAATATGTGTACTGTGAACAATAAAGAATCAAACTGAAAGATCTGGCTCTTTAGCTTTCTTTTTTTCCTAATTATTTAATTTTGGGTGTAACTTAACCCTAAACCACTTGCCTAGAAGACTCATTTTAATCCAGTGGCACTCAACATGAGCACTGAGGGTTTGTTTGTTTGTTTTGAGATGCTTATAAGTAATACACAGACATTTCCAATTTTAATAATAAGTTTAATGTGTATTGGAATGAATAAATATAACTACCTCATCAAATTCATGATGTCATTCATATTAATGAACTCACTTAATGTTGTTCTAAGACAAAAACCATAAGGGTTAAATAAGCTGAAGTTTGAGCAACACTGTTGAAGTAATTCTTTCAAATGTCTCTGTCTCTTTTTAAACAATAGCAAAGTAAACTCAAATACTTGTATGTTATTGTAAAGCCGATTGCTCCATTACCTTTTGATTCCAAGTAATCTCCAATATATGTGAAATAGGGCAAAAATACACAGACTATAAAGTTCAGCTCTGTGTGAAAGTGGGTTTAGTTAGTCCCTGGAGCCATCATTCTAGTAAACAGACTCCATTTGATAAAGTTCATTTGGGCATGTAAAAGGAAATGCTTGATGAAGTAAATCTCAAGCTTCACTTGAATGACCTCACTCTTCCACACTTAAAGAACACGTGGAAAAGTAAATAAAAAATATACTTGAAGCCCGGTAGCACTCAGTGAACAAAAGAGGATTCTTTGAGTCTCTTTATTCAATAATAAAACACTGTTGCTACCACTAACACTACCTACCTTTCAAAGTATTTGTTCTTATATATGATGCTTAGTACTTGCATCCTATGTAAATTTTTCTTAGTCTCTCCAGATAATTAGTATAGTGGTATTATACCAAGTAGCATATTCCTCTTTCTCAGAACTCCTGAAAACGCTGTAAAAAATCAATGAGGACATGTGTTTGCTCCCTGTGGTCAGCAAAGTGCAGTGACTAGTACAGTGCCTGGTATAAAAGGAATGCTCCACTATATCTATTAAGGGATGTATATGACTGTGTTTATTAAAGAACTAAATTTAACGAAAAGAAAGAATTTTATACCACAGATAATACCTATTAAGTTTGTAGGTTGCATATACACACTGAAAAGTCCCAGACCTCCTAAATCTCAAACACCACCCACTTATTCATGTTAATCTTAAAACATTCAGGTTCATGATTCAATACTGTTTCCTCTGACATGAAAATCTACTCAGTATTCAATGTGTCTACCCCATAAACTCCACAAAACTGCCAAATTTGCTTCTAGATTTGTTATATGAGGTGAGATAACGTAGATGAATCTGTGCAAATAGGTCTGCTTTGTGGGTAGCAGCCACTTGTGGAGCCTTGTGCGCCATCTCCTCTAGCTCCTGTTATTTCAGCACAGCTGTGGTGAACAGCTCCTCACACAAGGCTACTCTCCCATATCCAGCAAACCAAGGTGACTGCTTTTCTTTCTTTTTTTTTTTTATTATGAAATTTATTGTCAAATTGGTTTCCATACAACAACTAGTACTCATCCCAACAGGTGCCCTCAATACCCATCACGCACTCACTCCTCCCTCCCACCCCCCATAAACCCTCAGTTTGTTCTCAGTTTTTAGGAGTCTTTTATGTTTTGGCTCCCTCCATCTCTAATCATTTTGTTTTCTTCCTCTCCCCCATGGTCGTCTGTTAAGTTTCTCAGGATCCACATAGGAGTGAAAACATATGGAATCTGTCCTTCTCTGTCTGACTTATTTCACTTAGCATAACACTCTCCAGTTCCATCCACGTTGCTACAGAAGGCCATATTTCATTCTTTCTCATTGCCACGTAGTACTCCATTGTGTATATAAACCACAATTTCTTTATCCATTCATCAGTTGATGGCCATTTAGGCTCTTTCCATAATTTGGCTATTGTTGAGAGTGCTGCTATAAACATTAGGGTACAAGTGCCCCTATGCATCAGTACTCCTGTATCCCTTGGGTAAATTCCTAGCAGTGCTACTGCTGGGTCATAGGGTAG